ACCCATCTCAGTCCTAACTCGCAGCACAAAGACGACGGAGTCACAACGACACCCACCCCTTCCACAGTCGGCGCATACACCGTACTTCCAGCCACTGAAAACGGGACCCAACGGCTTCACGCCCACCCGCATGCCTATGCCCATCACTCACAACCATCCAAACGACAACCGGAGACCAGTGGCCAGAGGCATGAAACCCCCAGATCAGAAGGCGCGCACTTTCGTGAGCCTCACGGGGGAAATCCGTTTCAGCGAGGTTTCTTCTGGGGGAAGCGGGAAGGTTATCACTCCTGCTCTGGATGGGAATAACAGTGGAGGTGGCGATGGCGATGGTGATAGCGATGGGTGTGGCGATGATTATTATAAGAAAAACCAATTCTCTTCGTCACCTCCGCGGCCGCGGCAGCGTAGTCCGAGGAAGCGGAACGGGGCCAAACGAAGCATATATGACTTCCTAGAGGACAGCGGAGGCGGAGGAGGAGCAGGGGAAGGAGAAGAGGACGAAGTGTACGAGGAGATCGATGATCGGATTTCCGGGAGGAAGAGAAGGGTCGTGTATGGGGAGTGGTGACAGAAGACAGGCGGCTCGGTAACCACCCCGAACGGTGGGTTCCAAGTACTTCTTTTATCTTTTTTTCTTTTTTGATTACTTTCTTTCTTTTTTTTCAACTTCTTTTTATTCTCTTATTTTCTTATGGTTTGTTCACATATTAGATATCATTACTTAGGATGTTCTGGGAGGATTGGGGGATGGAGAAGGATAGGCGTTTCTGTAATCGATCTGGCAGCTGGGAGAATTTGATTGATGTCATGGGCAATGGACAACAGCATGGATTGTGGGGGATGGATGACAACAGGTAAACAAACCGGGGGGGGGCGCTGTTGAGAGTTTTTGTTTTTGTTTTTGTTTTTTTTTTTTTTTTTTCCTTTTTTTCTTTGCTTGTATGATGTATTTTCGCCTCTTTTCATGCGCGTCTATGTCTATTTCTCATTTCACCTAGCATCGTTTTTCGTGATTTGAGAAACCTAATATAATATAATGAAAGGAGAGGGGGCCCCGTCACATGTCGTGAAGGGGGAATCTGCCAAAAGAAGCAATGGCAACTTATGTACTGTACGGGGTTTTATACAATGATTCTATGGTAGTTCAATTAGTTAGCGAGGAAGACATCCTATAATACACTATAACAGATGATCAGATTATGTATGGTACACGCAAGAGAGAGAGAGAACGGGGGGGCGTGGTTAAATACAAATGAAAGAAAAACAGCGACGAAAATTTGCTAGTAAAAACCAACATTACCTTTTCTTATTCATTCATTTGTCTTTCACAATCATTCATGTTCATCCTTAGACTATCGTCCATAACGCCGATTTGGGCCCTGGCATATCAGCAGACGCCCCACAGGTCTACCCAAGGTGAAGAAAAACAGAAACGGGGTCCCGGAAGCACATCTCATCTTTCCACCACACCGCTTCCTCCACGGCGTGAAGAGAAGAAAGAAACAGGCAGACAGACAGACGTCTAGCCACCGGGCCCCCAGCTGCAAAAGGAAGAACGGAGACGGGCGAAGGACACCCGGTCCTCTCAGCCAG